CAAAGACCCATCCTTGATAATATAATTCATATGAAAATATCTCGAAATAATAAAATGTTGCATATTATATTAAATTAGCATTTCGAAATACGAAAGATATCATTTTAGATTTTAATCAACGATTCAATGATTTCAAATATGGCAAAATTGAAAATATACCTTGCTTTCTACATTTACTGTCGCATACGACTTGTATCGGTTGCATACGCGACGCACATATCTAAACTGGCAAGTCGAGACAGACAGTAGAAGTAGAAGGGGTAGATAAGGAAAGACAGGTATTTGAAACTGAATATATCTATTATCATTATAGTGATAAGTGAAGTGATAGTGTAACGACTGTTCCAATTCATTTAAGCTATGAAAGGCGGGGAACGAAGAGAAGACAATGCCTTTTTGAGTAAAGGTTGAAAATGATATTGAAATTCTCAAGCTTTTTAAAAATGAAAAGTTATTTGTATCATTCACAAATAGCATTTTTGCTTCTCTAATTCATGCTAATAGCAGAAATAACTGAAATGATAATAATGATGATAATGATGATGATGATATTTAGGCATGTTAGTTAAAGCAGATTCCGTCTTTTGCATATCGCGAGAGCAAAGATGGGATAAATGATAATCCATTTTGAAGTTACGATAACAGCATCATGCACATGAGAATCATAATAATGAACTATTATAATTGTAATCAATATATTGCTACTATGGCTATATTGTGCTTCTGAGAAATAAAGAAATTATCATCGTTATTGATATGTCATGAAAAATAAAATAAAATAGAAAAGTTGATTGTAGCAATAATTGATTTCAAAAAGGGAAATTTTAACATTATATGAATTATTGTACTTCTTATTGCTTCAAAATTCTATCCCATTTAATACAATACTTCTCATCCCAAATTTTGAAAGAGAAAAAAATACGACGAATTATCTGTAAATTGTATAACATATCTGAACGCTAATATATGATCCATAGATAATTCACCAGAAGCATTTCAACGAGTACAATGAATATTATTCCTAAAATATATATACAATGAATTTTTCTGCATAATTCTGCAATCGGTAATAATTCTTATCTATTACATGTCAACAGTTTAACATGCATTAACAAATTGAACTTTATAATATAAGGTAATGTTAATCCCATCATCATTAATCTATGCAAATTGATGATAACTGAAATTTTCAGTGTCTCAATAAATTTATTAACTAGTTTCATCGTTTTATCTGCTCAATACTCAGTCTCGTGGTGGTTATATATCAATGCAAGTACAGAATCAGTGATAAATCAAGATAAGATTGAGTATATTAATAAAAAGCAATGATTTATCAAGGCTTCAATCATGTTCAAGATGTGCAAAAAATCACTTTGAGGATCACAATAAAATTTTGATTTCTAAAAGGTTAAAAGGTTAAAGAGCAATAAGAAATGGTTTAGATATAAAATTCAGCTGAAAATTAAAAAAAGGTAATTTATATTTAAACATTAGTAATTTCAATGCAAATCTAATAACAACTTTAATGAATCAAATAGAAATCGAATCTCTTATGATGAAAAAGTGAACTTAGATGGATATTCTGGGTTTGTTGTAAAAATAGTAATAGATTAAGGAGCGACATAGAAGTTGATATAAACGGCTTTTTAACATAGAACAATATATCTGAATGGGTGGAAGCATCGGATACTTACTCCAATATGTATTTTTGTAACTTATCGCTATGCAAATAGCAACTCTCTATTTTGAATGCTTATTTTCATTCTCTTTTCTTAGTTTGGAATTTGAATTTAAAAAAGCTGTGATAATATCAATTTCATATAACAATAAAATATTCAAATTTTCTTTTCAAATCCTTAATTGAATTTTTAATAATTTAAACATTTTTTTGCAATCTAATCGCTAATTTCGTTCTTTCTTGTTTAGCATTCCTTAATTATCCATATTTGGTATTTTATTATGTGTGTATGTGTGTATGTATGTGTGTGCTTATGTGTGTGTGTGTGTGTGTGTATGTGTGTGTGTGTATGTGTGTGCTTTGTCACTGAATTTAGTTTTTTCTTGTTGGCGATTGTTCATAAAATGAAGTAAAGGAAAAAGTATGCATATACAGACAGCCAGCTAAGGCAACCGGAAAGCTATTCAAATCATTTCAGGTTTTCAATAAACTTGAAAAAGATGAAGGGCTGGATGCTCAATTTGTGTGTGAAAATTTAAGTAAAAAAAAATTAAAATTGTTATTAAAAGCAAATTCTCTCAAAGTAAATTTCCGGATGTGAACTATAGTATTGGAAAAGTTGGTTGAAATGTATTCGACTGGATAAAGATAAGTTTAATTCACTATAAAAATTGCTTGAATGGTATTTAAATTATTTTATATTTTAAAGCAATTTTGAATCGATAGATTATCTACATGAAATATTCGTATAAACAATGTAAATCAATGAGCGAAAGTAAAGCAAACAAACTGACATATTATTATTATTATTGAAATTTGCCTTTCAAGTTAAAAATTGTTGTAAGATTTATTTGAACTTAAAATAGTTATGTAATTGCTTTTGTACATCAGTTACAGTCATCATTATTGTATCGCCGGTGAAAACTTTTAATATGTAATTGCTACTGCAGCAGTGATGTATATTTTTTGTTTACGTTATATAAAGCAGAGGAAATTTGAATTTACCTTATTTAATTGTTATTGCTATACCGTTCTCTTCATGAAACAAAATTTATGAACATTTTTCAGATTAGATATTTTGTTGAAATGATCGAAAAATAATTCAGTGATCGAAATCATCTCGTAATGAAGTTGAAAAACAAAAATATATTTCAATGTGATCGATGATTTAATTTCAATGATTGAAAAATATATTTCAAAGAGCTAAAATAATTTAAGGCCCTATGCTATTAATGATTCATGTCCCTTTTTTCCAAAACAAACAAATAAATAAAAATTACTGAAGAGATCGATGCTTTGTGCCTGCCTTTCAATTTGGCTCTCATTTCTGTGAATACATCTGATGGCACAGATGAAAGAATCATTTAGCTGAAATTTTACTCGATAGTGTTTGATATTTCTACATATTCATTCATTCGGCAAATTCTAATAAGCTTCCATCGAAGGGAATAGCTTTTCATTTCTCTTAAAACACATAATAAAAGATTTACTGATTGGTCAGTCAATATGACAGTTATCAAAAGGTGTCAGTTTAAGCCTGATGCAAACGCTACCTATCAAGACATATTCATTCGTCAGTTTGTTTCAGTATACCGATTTGTAAAACTGGATGATAAATTTTATTCATTCATCTCTCCTTCATTGCTTATATTACAGAATCTGTTGTGTGGGTTAGAAAATCATTTCGTCGAGCATGCACAAATTCTAAAGTCATTTTTTAAAAATATGTAATAACCTTATTTTTCACAAGTATTAAGACTGATGAGATGTTTGCGATTAACATTTATCAATTAACTAATCAAATTTTTTTCTTGAAAGTGTTTTCATTTCAAACGTGAAAAGTTGGCTACAGGTTATTAATGATCTGGACATGCTGGCATTTCCCACAAACATCTGAGTAAGGCATTGTTTGAAACCGATCCTTAGATGATCAACTTGGTAATCCTAGAAAGCTAATTTAGTGGAAATATCTGAAAAGAAAAGGCCTCTTAGATATCTTGGTCTTCTAGTTAGATATATTCCGATAGGTTAATTTTGTATTTTTGAAATATCTGTATATGAAGATTCCCCTTCGAAGCAAAGTTTCCTGTATGGAAAAGAAAAAAATTAAAAGATTTCTTCCTTAAGACTGTAAAGTTTGCTTGGAGTGGAAAGATCAACAGATTACAAGGAATTATCAGTTCTATTTAATCAACGCAAAATCACAACATAAATGAAGAAGCTGAGAGTAGAAAGACAATGATTCTGGTACCCGTCATAGTGCTTTATGATTCCCTCATAATGACACATCTGCCTGCCTATGCATTCTTCTATTCAATATGATTTCTGTATAATGCATGATGTATTTATGAACGGACTTAAAATATTTAATTTTATAATTTATGATTCATAACAAAGGATAATAAATATTGTATTTGTAAAATTACAGTTACTCGAATTTATTTTTAACTATGTTGCTATTTTTAATACTATACACTGAATGGTTATTTTGACAATACAATTCTATATCCAATTTATAACTAATACAAATTATTCCAAATAGAATTTATAGTTTTATGTCGGAGATGACCGAACCGAGTTATACAAAAACACGGGGAATCTAACAGTTATCATGGTTGTGGATTGGTTGTTGTGTTGTTCAATTCTACAGTCCTATGTGGTTGATCCACTGTTCTCCTGATGATCATCTCCTAGTGTAGCTGTCTGAGATATTGATACCATCGTCTTGTTATATAATCAATCAACTTCTTCTATTTCTTCTTATTCAACAAATCGCTCGCCGATGCTTTCACTTCGGTAATTCGCGCTCAGGTCAATTGAAATGGGTAAATGAGCTGAATTTAAAATGAATTCTGCCGCTTTTTATTTGCATTCTTTTGCCCTTTGTGCTGCGATTCATGTCACCACTCTTCCATACTGCTCCATTTTAGTGACAATTTATCAAATTGATTCCTTTCTGTTTGATTGACCACTCAATGGTATGTCATTCTTTTGTCACTAATGGCTTAATGATTGTTTCATTTAACCTTAGCCTTATTGTGCAAACAGGTGCCAGTTGAGTGGTGACGTATAAAAGATATGGCTTAGTTTAATATCAACTTTGAATACACTCACATTAATATTATGAATTAGCTATTTGGCGATGCTACTATTACTTTGTCATTTCTCATCATCTGATGCTAAAATTAAGTGACTTTGGTGAGTGCGAGACGGTAATTTTGTCTATCAGTTTTCTTGAAACTGTGTTGGGAATCGCTATGCCATTTCAGTTAAATTCAATTTGGCATATTTGTTCCAATTAATGAAAACATAATATTTGTGAATGTCGACAGATTTATTTACTGAAGTTGACAGGTTAATCAGTTTAATTATGCATAACTGAAGCACTAAAGGTTCATTTACATACTTATCATTGATTTGATATCCAACTACTAAATTTAAATTTACAAAAAATAAAACAAATAAATGAAGCCGACAAAGAATCATTTTTGAAATATATATATTAATAAAAAAATCATTTGTCATATGATAAAGTGGCAAAAATTCGTTATATAAAATCATTCGTTTCACAAATGATGCGATCGCAGTAAATTCTCTATTATTAGCGATTATATTGCTTCTCCTCCTGTTGCTGCTGCTGTCGCTATTACTGTCACTGCTGCTGTCGCTATTACTGTCGCTGCTGCTGTCGCTATTACTGTCGCTGCTGCTGTCGCTATTACTGTCGCTGCTGCTGTCGCTATTGCTATCGCTGTTGCTAATCGAATTGAGTAACAGGCTTTATTCACTTATCTCATTTTAATTATCTTTATATGGAATCTAATAGTTATAGTAAGATATAATTCGAAGAGTGCGACTCAACCATGAGTTTGATTGCCTGGGTAGCGCAGTTGGTTAGCGCGTCAGTCTCATAATCTGAAGGTCGTGAGTTCGAACCTCACCTCGGGCATGCGTTATGCTTTTTGTTCTTTTACGTGAGTGATCACAATATCATATAGCTTTGAATTTTTTTCAATTCATCCTTTGATATTTAGAATTAGCAAACATAATGATTTTGATTTCGATTTTAATTTAGATAAATTGTTGTCTTAAAACATCGGTATTGTTCCGCGCCATCCATCCCAATTCTCCAATTATAAATTATTTTGTTTGGGCTCTTTGTCCACTTCCATGCATAGGTATGTAAATTAGATGAAGATAGAGATAAGAGAATTTAATGTCAACAATTTAACCATCTGATGAAGTTCAACATGAACTTAATATAAACTGCTTTATGAACTCTTCCTTTATTACTTCTAAAGGCACTTACATGTGCGTTCGTCGCTTTTAATATCTCTGCGTGTTCTCTTAGACAGAATATAATATAAAAGCAAGCATTTTCCACCAAAATGTGCCAACCATTTATAAACAGAGGTGCAAGGCAATAAAGAGAACAAACTGTTCTATTTGGTATATCAAATGATTTATAAGCCTATTCCGAAGTGAGCGGTGCCCTGAAATTTTTTAATGTATCCAACCCAACTGTTATTCTTTTCATTTCTCATTTCCTATGTTCGATTAATGGAAATACGCAGCGGAGATCCAAAAGGTTTAAAAATTCTTTAAATTCCAAAGATTAAAATTATCATTAACATCATTTTTAATTCAGATAATAGAGAATATAACGGTATATCTGTCGCGTCGTTACTGAAGTCCTGCCTATCGTGAAAGTTGTTATGTTCTTTCAGCAGCAAAGACGAATAGTTTTGAGAAGGGTTTTTAGAATGACACCAAATCGAGTGGTCGGAGTAGTACTGGAATTAGTATTGATAGTAGTAGTAGTAATTGTAATAAGTTGGAAGCGATTTTTAAATTGCAATGACAGTGATTAATGAGGATGAATATATTCTCGGGCCCCTATTTATATTCCTTTTGGATCAAAAAGAATCAAGTAAACAATATTTTACAATTATTTAACAATGAAATTCATTGTTTTTGGAATTTAAGTGATCAAGGAATTCACCGGTTGACACTTCATTTATTTACATCCTTTGGAAATAATAAGAACTAAACAGTGGAAGATATTCACTACTCAACCTTTTACAATTATTTATGATCCATTCAAAATAAAAAGAGGAGCAAGCAACAAACAATGTTTGTGGTATATTTTGACCTATTGAAAAACAATCATTGTAGTACAGATTTCTACAGTACAAAAATACTTGTATCATTTATATTATGGAAATTTCTGTTTTCGACACCTTTGTTGGTTACTCATTGATATTGAAAATTATTGGGAGTACTAATTTGTCCCTATATGGTTCTACGGTATAGTGAGCAAAGGCATTGTAGAGATGACTTTTGAAGAATCACGGTGGATTCAAAAAGTTTCTCGTCTTGTAGGATAAATTCTCCTCAATCTTTAGAATTTATATTGAAACTTATCAAATGAATCCTCGTTTAATCAACTTCGATACAATAGTTTGGAGGTCATAAAAGGTAATACTCTGCAGCTCTCCTTCCGTCCAGCTCAAATTCGACATTCGCCCCTGTCCAATTCTTATTATTACTACTCACATTTTTTTTTTACTAATGCAAATGCTCTGAGATGAATTGGTTAGTCTTATTGCATGGTTCACTGGATGGTATAAATCTTGGGACAGTAGCCAAAGGCAATTGTAAATCAAGTAAATCAGGAGTAAATGGGTCACGACCAACTATGTATAGAAGTTATGTGGTAATGTATCGGTTACACCAAAGGCAGTACATAATTATCATATAAAAGTCATTTTATTTCAGTCACCTCAGGAATAATAACTTATCAGCTGATTGATAATGTCTCTTTCTTCCAGAAAGTGAGTTACTTAACATTACTTTTTCTAATTTAAAACAATACTGTGTAGATTGTAGTGAATGTTAAATCAATGCCTAAGATATTAAATCAGTGCCTAAGAGAAGTTTCACCGACTTCAAATGACAGATGGCATCTATCGTTGGTTAAATGCATCTCTCCATGTTCATTTTAAAGGTCGTAAAAGCATTCAATTGCAAATAAAAGGTACTTCAAGTAATTTTTAAATACCAACTTGAATTTTTACAAATTTTACGGAATAAAATTAGGCGATTCTTATCGACTCATTCCAGCTACCATATCAGATCAGTTTATTCGATATTCAAACGAATGAAGCCCACACGTTGACTATAACCGATACCTCATTTTATGCCTCCAACCAAGAATCAGCCTCTAATCATTACCAAAATTATTAATTTCCAATTAATTAACTAGATTGGTTTTTATTCATGCAGTCATTTTCTGTCGATTAGTAACTGTTAAAATGATGATGACTGCTTCCGCAGCTTAGCGCGGAAGCTTTAATTGTGAATCAAAAACTTCAAAGATCTTTTCTTAAATTCCAATTGCATCATTGCTTGCATGAGACAATCTTCAAATTTAATTATATCATTCTACTTGTACCGATGTCAACTTTTTCAGGACAAGTTTATGAGTATCTTCAAATTTAATTATATCATTCTACTGTAGCTTTTCCATTTTGAAACTGCGTTATCTCCCTTTTTCTGCTATGAAATAATTGTGAATCAAAAACTTCAAAGATCTTTTCTTAAATTCCAATTGCATCATTGCTTGCATGAGACAAAACAACAGTAATTATTATTGTCACCAACAATAATAGCAACAACAATAAGAGTTCCAACAATAACAACAGCAGCAACAACAACAACAACAGCAACAGTGATAAACAAGGGCGTCTAATCGATGACAACATTACAGTTTGGCATGTTGGTATGCTACCAAATGATGATAGTAGAAGAATGGTTAGGAGAAACCAGTTCCGTCTTCGACGGTGGACCTATTACTGAAATTGTTTGCCAGCTGTAGTCTTTGAATCATCCCAACAAGGGTACCTCTTCTGCGACCGCTGCACAACTCATTGTTCAATCCTCATCTCATCAATGCGCCCCCTTTCCCCTCTATTCATCTTTCATTCGAACTGAAAGAACTGAAGTTTAAACCGTCCAAATGATGAATTCGAACTCCTCTTTCTTCTTTTTTGTTTCCTCTCAAAATTATTGTGCAAACTACTAAAATAATATTTATAGTATATAATTAAACAGTTTTGAATTAACATGGCGGATGGATGCTTATCATTGAGACTGAGAAATATTCACTTGCATTGGTCGCAACAGAGGTGGTTATGCACTTTCAGAAACATTTCAAAGTAGCCCAGTAAGGTAAGGACCATAACAGTTGGTCAGTATTGAAATATTTTTAAAATTTTGTTTCTCTTTGGAAGCTTTGCAGCAAAGGAAACTGCTAACTACTACAATGCGCTGCGTATTATTGCCCTTATCCACTCCTTTTCAATGTGATTTCCGGAGCTCCGATGCATTTCAGGACGGTGATTACAAGTTTTATCATGATGATAAATAATTCCTGAATTCATTTGCCATCTCTAGCATGCTGATGAATAACTCTAGCTTAAACAACACCAATAATCTTGGTATTAATGGTAACAATGATGATGTAGCGGCAATGGATACTTGGGAAGATCGAAGGATATCGATAACTCTTCAATATGGTTCAGTGAAGGAAGTATTAGTTCTCGAACGATCTGATAATCCACAGGTTAATCGTAATTTATTAGATCCATCTGATTTTCAAGGAATAACTAAATTCATGTACTAAACATAATGTTCTGAGATATTCTGATGTTTTATGTTTCTCGGAAATCTGAAAAAGTCATAGTCATGAATAACTTCGGAGACAATTTATTGTTGAGAAAAGCAATAGTATCGTTCAGAAGTAAGGCCTCCTTTCAGCATAATCCTTGGAAGGACAATAAATTTTTTTCCCCTATGATTCTTCATTCCATCCTTATTCTGGCAGCTTGAAATAGTCATCAAATCCTTGGATGCTTCTAAGTTTTGCGATTTTTTACTGCTGTAGTATGAAGTCTAACGATAAAATTTTTGAATTCTACTAACAACAAAATTATAAAGTTAACTTTGCGAAATTAATTTTTTTCATTTTAGCAATTTGAATCACTCTGTGAGCGTGCCAGGCAAATGGCTGAAAAGCATTATGATGGTAAATTAGCGAATGGCTGTGAGCTACATTTGTTCAGACATGATTATAACTCGCCAAACATGCTCCAACACTTGGCTTCCGTTACACAGCTGGTATATATTATCTTTCAACTTCATTTCAAATATTGAATTTCTGAAAATAATTGTTATTTTTCAAATATTTCTGAAAATTACACTTTATTACTACTCCTGTCAATTGACGTGAGTTTTCCTGTATGGTTTGGGATCTGAGATCTTAAACTGACGGTAACATATATTGCGCAGATTTCATCCTACCTTTCAATAATTCATATATCCTGACATAACTTCAGAAAGTCAATTTGAGGATAATGGTTGCAAAGTGGAAATAATTCTGATTGATCGTAATGAACGACCAACACGTCCTCATGTGCTTGCTGTTGCATCATATATGACTCCAACATTTTGTGATTATTGTGGTGAAATACTGGTTGGCTTGATCAAGCAGGGTTTGCAGTGTGCCAAATGCCGGTATCCAATTTAAATGTATATCCAAGAAGTTTTTCATTTTTATAAATAATTTTTTCAAACACTGAAATTACTATTAAATGTTGCTATTTTTAAATTTATATTCGAAAAACGAAGTCCAATATTTGTAGATGTAATTTTCATAAAAAATGTGCATTTGCGCCAAGGAATAATTGTGCCAAAAATAACCTAACTGCAATTTT